GATAATAATGCCTAGAGGCTGGTGAATTGAAAGGAAAAGTGACACAAGGTGACAAGGAGTGGTAACAGATACTCTGAGGTTATTAATCATATTCTTGTTGTTTCAAAGGAAAATCAGACCATGTTCTGTATATGGCAGATTGCAAAATGTGAAGTATATGGTGATAGCCATACGCTATATATATATATGTGAGAGCTTTCAGCAGTATGATTTCACATACTGGTAGAGCTGAACTTGTGTTTTTTGTTGCCCCTGCCAATACCGACATCTTGCCCAGGGTGCTGTAGGCCCACCCCTAACAGTATAGCGGTTTGAAGTATGTATTAGTCTCCCTATAAAAGAGGTTATATCTGCAAACTCTTCAGACTTACTCGCCTGGGTAAAAGAGGTACAGGTACCTAATGCATACACATGCGTGTATTTTATCTGCAAACAAACATGGCCATTCTGGAGTATATTAAAATTCCTTCAATTTTCCATCCTGTTTTGCTATTTTTTATTGATTTCTTCACTGTTTCTAGTATGTTTTATTCTGGTAGTCCTCTCTATTTGCCAGCCTACTCAGATACCTTATTGCAGAAAGGGGTATATGATAATCTTTAAAATGATAAATTGAAGAACAGTGAATTCTCCATTATCAAAGCCAGATAGAGGAAAAAATACCCATGAATAACAGTAGTGCTTCCACAGCCTGTTCCAGTTCTTCTGCCCAGAGCTCTAAGGAATGCCTCTGATTACCCAAGTTAGCTTGAAAGAGTATCACACCACAGGCAATTAAATCCTCAATTCAATGAATTTAAAGGGAGTTTTCTACCTCGTTAAGAACAGTGATAGAATTTCCATTGACCGCAGCCATGCAGAGATTTTATCTGCACTGTGGAGCTCTACAAAACAGGAGAGAAAGGAGTCTCCATGGCTTGGAGAAAGGTTTACAAGGAAATATATTTTCTGTCATTCAACCAGAGAGGCTAAGACTCTAAGAAGTCAGGGTAGGGAGGGTGTAGGGAGGTCATTGGCTGCTATCCTTCAGTGAGCATCTTGTGACAAAATGGCCTTCCTGAAGCAAATCTTAGTTTTCCCATAGGAGACAGACATATACAATTAGTTTACTTGATTCTCATCATTCATAAGGAGCACTAAAAACTGTCTGTTCTGATATTTAATTTAAACAGATCTCATTGTTTGAAAAGGTTTCTTGGTTACCTGTTTTCATTCTTCAATTCATAAATGTTTTCTCTTGTACCACCTTAAAAAGTTATTTTTCTGCTAACAGTTTTGTACTACTGAAATACCCATAGATTGTCATTTCCATTCATTTTCGTTGCTTATTAAAGCCTTATGGGTGTTATAGTATCAACCACATTAACCTCTGCCCCTCTAGACTTCAGTGGAAGAAAAGGGGGTTGCAGTAGGCTAACATTTTATGCCTATTTTAATGACTTATTTTTGAGGACTCCACTTACACACTTCTGTCTCTTTTCTTGCTGTTACATGGTGTAAGGAAGGTGTGGCTGTTTTCTGTCAAATTTGTATTTGTCATTTTCTAAATCACTGTTTTCCTTCAAACCATGCTTAGAGGCAAAAATTGGAAAATATTTCCTCTGTAGTGCTGTTGCTGCTTGCGTTTCAGGAAAAAGATAAGTTAATTAATTGTTTAACATTTGGGGACTATTCCATGTATAGATTGACCACCTGCAGATTTTCAAAAGGAGGTCCTTGTTTTGAAAATGAGATCTCAAATCTGAGGTAACATCAGGGTATTTTGGAGAATGCTGGTTAGAGGAAGTTTTTACTCCCTTGCTGTGAACTTTTCACATCTATTCTGCAGAATTCACACTAAAGAGCATGGACTTTAAAACTTGTTTCAAACCATAAACCACCAATAGCCGTATGTTATGCTTTTCCTGTGCCAGACCCACAAAGGATGTAAATTGTTACTGACTCTGGCTGTTCAATTTATGCTGCTGAGACTCATGCAGTTCTGGAGGTCCTCAGTTAAATCCTAGATTTTGACAAGCGTCAGGAGAATATTCTTATACATTCTAGAAAGGAAAGAAAGTATTATAACAAAGGTACATAAGCTATTTGTGTGAATAAGCTAGAAATGTTTCTCCCTGAACACAATGCGATTTTTTCATTGGTCCTCAATGTTCAAAAATCCTCAGTAAATATGTAATTTTCTCTTTCTTGTACGGATTTGTTCTGGTACTATTTTGTTTCATTTGTTACTCTTTTCATGGAATACTCTTACTCATACATACCTCTAAAATCTTGAGTACTTTCTCTCCCTTTAGGAATTTTCAGTTATTCACTATGATATCATTACATTTTCCCCTGAAACACTGTGTTCATAGCAGGATAATGGGGAGAGAAGTTGTTCAGTTTATGATTGACTAGTGGATGTACCATTTCAATTCCCTTGGAAAGTGGGTGTGAGACTGTTTGAGTCTATGTTACTTTGGACAGATATCATTTCAGGGAATCATAGTTAGAGCTGCAAACAGTCTATTAGTCACACGTCCAAGCCCTGCCAGTGTAATATTGTTCCCTGCAGTACATTATTGAATGTTTTGTCCAATATCAGTTTGAATGACTCAAGCAATGAGGCTTCCACCACTTCATCTGAGAAACTATTCCATGGTCTAGTAGAACTCGCTGTTAGGAAATATTTCCTGGTACTCAGCCTAAACTTTTTTACACCCAGATTGATCTCATTACTGTTCGATATACTTTTTTTCGATCCTGTCTTAAATCTTTTTCCTTCTTTGACGTTCACACTCTTGAGTGAATAGTAGACGGCTATCATATCACCTCTTAAGTAAAGCAAATACATAATTAGTTCTTCTATTCCTTCTCTCCAAGTAGGCCATCTGTTTGGTAGAAAAAAGGGCTGAGTATGTGGAGATTTTTTTCCTACTAAATGCTTGCTTCAAACACATTATATGAAAAAGTGCATTATGAGTTCATATGATTATGTGGCTCCAAGGAGTCCCAAATTTTCTTTAAAACGTCTTTCAAGAGTTATGTAGAAGCTGATAACTTTATCAAGCAGTCGTTTGAAATAATACCTATTTCTAACTCAATGCACAGTTCTAAAACAAGTAGTCTGCTATGTTTCATGGCTTCAGGGAATGTTTTGTAATGTTGCTTCATCTATGTTCTGTGCTATTTATGAGGCAAAATATATGTATCTACATCACTGAGAGGGGAGAGCACTGGCAGCAAAAGTGCGAGCAGCAGATGACACAGGATATTCAGGGGTCTTTAGAAGGTCTGTCCTTCACAGCTTTACAGCCAGAATTTACAAGTGTTTCCTTTAGCATTCTGCATCATGGCCACATTGTTCAGGTTATATAAGGGTTGTTCCAAGGTGGAGAATGTACGTTATTGCATCCAACCATTACACTTTTCTGGATTTCTTTCTGGTAGTCAACATCTGTTTGGTATTGAAGTGTCTAGTATTATGTTATTCTAACTGTTTCTCACTTTTTCCCTCCCTCCTCCTCCTTCCCTACCATATTCCAAATTTGGGTCCGCTATCCTAAGGGTTTTTTTTAACGATACTTATCATAGTCTAAATTCTGCAAAAACATATGCATATAATAAGTTGCATTTTGTGAAATGTGGGCCTGTCCTATTCTTATTTTTTTTATTGAGGATCTGCTGCTTGATTTGAGAGTCCCAGTCAGAGGAATACTTCAATTTACAATTAGACTTTTAAGCTGGTACTCCATGCTTCTTTTGAAAAACATCCAGTATGTATTTTAGGCATATGTTTATGCTTTTTGATGTATCGCTGTACAATTTGGAACCATGTCAGTGTCTTGCTAATTCCTTACCTGAGGTTATCCGATGCGTATGGGTTTGTGAGCCAGGCTTCAATCTAAGTGAGTAAACAAGCTTGGAGCACTTTTTCTCAAATGTGTTAAAAATGATGAGCAAGTTAATATGCCCTCGGGCAAGAACATTCCTGAGCTACCTTATTACAATTTTGCTAAGCTAATTAGGGAAGAAAAATGCAGTGATCAAACTAAGACCAAGTAAAGTTTGAACCAAATCAGTGAGTTCAGTTTATTAAATTATCAATTTAATACAACAGATAATCTTGCGATATCACAAATAAATACATAAACACAAAAAAGATAATGACAAGTAAAAGACAGTTCTCCATCATGAAAAGCAAGTAGCTTGAATAACTCTTGCAACTTGCTCATTTTATTGCTGTTATCTGAAATGAGCTGATAGATTTGTCAAAGCCTTTAATGAGTGCTGTATTTCAATGAAAGTCTCAAACACCTTTTTCACTTCTGAGTGGACTGTCTGAGGCAGGGAGAGGCCTCAGACACTGCTCCTGACACAAGAGAAAGAGCCACTCTTCTTTTTTTTTTTTGTCTGCTTTTATAGGGAGCATTTCTCACTTTTTCCACCTCAGAGACCAATGTTATGGCTTTAGGGCCTTGTTTTGTGAAGGTAAGCAAGCGGTAACCATTACAGTCCAATCCTCATTGCAGGCGTCTGAGGTGATGGTGGAAAGCTCCACCTTTGGAACAAGCCTTCCAAGTACATAGATTCCTCCAGAAACATGAAGAACAAGATCTGTGGGGGGCTTTGCCAGGATCTTCTGGCCGAGGTAATGGGCATCAAACCCATTGTCAACAAAATCAAGTTTTTAAAGCTTACTAATTACCTCATTAAGGTATTTTCTGTGCAGTGGCATCCTCCTCTGAGCATTTATTCTAGTGTTCTCAGAATGAATATTTGGGACAGAAAAATTAGAAAACTGATTGAAGTGAACATATTACTTACCCAGATAATTTTCAGTCTAAAAGAACAAGTGACTTTTATGTAAACAAATTCTACTCATATTTAAGCAACTGATATTTTCCCATTCCTCATCTCAAATCTGCACTGATATCCTCACATATACCTATCTCTGCACTTGTTCTCTACTGAATGTCTGGTATTTTCACTGTTCAAGAATTGTTTTTCTTTCTACACAGGTTATCCAGGCTGTCTTTTTTGGTATCTGTGTATTGACTGACCTTTCCAGTCTTCTGACCAAGGGAAATGACAGCCAGGAACAAGAAAGGCAGCTTAAAAAGCTCATTTCCCTCCGTGACTGGATGATGGCTGTTTTGGCTTTCCCCATTGGAGTGGTAAGTATGGTGTTAACCTGCTCATGTGTGTACTAAACTGGGAGAGCAGTTGCTATTTACTGATCGTTTTCTGGCTGCAAGGCTTTTACACTTCTTGGCAAAAGACTACGCAGAAAGAGAAAAATAGTAGAGATGGTTTCTGCTGCTCTGTATTTGTCCAGGGTATAAAGGATTACTGATGTTAGTAAAATTCTTTTTGGTTCATTAAATAAAAAAATCTACCTTACAATAGGAACTTGATTGCACAAGTCATTTCAAATGTGAATTTTACCAATAGAATCTTAAGAGTCAACCTGCACTTTTTCAGTGTCTTGTTTCATCATCAGTAGTAATAAAAGTGCTGACTGAGATGTGTTTTCACACTGTAAAAGCCTGACTGAAACTCAGGAGGTAAGCCATTCTGTTATGGAAAAGAAAGAAACCAAAATCTAGATTGCCCCCCTATTAATCCTACAGGGCATTCAGAGCTAGTAGAAGAAAACGGAGGAGGAAAAGAAAGGTTTTGTCAGTAGTGTACAAAAGCACACAGTCAGAATTGAATAGTGTTTTTTACAGATCTTTTTCAAAGTAAAACTGTTTTTTGGTTCAGATTCTCCTCTACTGGGAGATTGCAGTTTGCTTTCAATGGCAAAAAGTGCTCAGTGTCTTGAGGTGTCTCATACCAGACACTGAAAACAGTTTGAAACTCAGGATTTCACAGATTTTTACATGAAAGTGTGATCTGCTCAGATTAGTTCTAAACTTAGTATATTAAAAATATGTGAACCTTTCATTAAAATATTGTTTTATTGGAAATTGGGATCAAACTATTTCTAATTTTTAATTTCAGTGTACAGTTGTTCAAAATACAGTCTTTGGAATTAATATTATTTTTGTCGTGGGAGGACTACTAGAAAACCATATGAGGTCTCAGAACTCATACTGTTTCACAACAGCTGGACACCCATTGTCAATTAACAATTGACAACAATGTAAACCCGACATACTGATATGTCGTTTATAATTTTATATACTCAGAGATGTGTCATTAAAATATGATTTCACCACTTATGTGGGATTTCACAATATGTGAAGAAATACAGAATGCTTTGGCAAAGTTAGAGAATGCAAAACATATATAAAACACTGTTCAGGTGTTTCCTTTATAAAATATCCAGTTGGTAGCCTTCACTTACTCTACGGCTTACCTCTTCGGAGCTGCCGCAGTTCTCATTGGAGTAATGAGCTGCAGTTCTCCAGCCATAGTAGAAGGTACACCTATGTCAGTTAATACAATTCGTAAAAATCTGTGAATAAACAGGCTTGTAAATGTGAATGTTATGTGAGCAGAGATATATATGATAAATTTGTGTTTTAAGGGAGGTTGGGAATTAGGAAGTAGTTGTGATTCTGACTGGCAACAGATGCTTTTGGTACTGTATTGATACTAGAAATGAAAAAAGAGAACAACATCACGTTATTTATTTTTATTTAAAGCTTTTAAGTGCCTTTTTCAATCTGTAAGTGTAAGCCTTTACATGCATCAAAACACACGTTTTCCCAACCTTTTTGGCTCTCTCACTAGTCTTCTCATGCTTGCTATGCCGTTCAGGATTCAGGGATTCTCCCCTAGTTCTGTTTAAGCTCCATACTGATCTTTGTGTACTTCTCCATCCTTGCAGTTTTTCTGACCTTGAAACTTTTCAAGATCTTGGAGAATTTCATCTTCTCTTGTCTTGGCAATACCATGCGTTGGCAAAGCTGTGTGTTCTGAGCGTTTCTTTCATGCGTTGTTTCTTTTGCCGCCGATAAATGAGGAGTACCAGCTAGTCATTTCTGGCGCTGGAAGTACTGTTGCAACCTCTACAATTTTGCAGTTCCCAAGAAGACATTCTGCCTACCTGGAAGCTAGCTTACTTCTCAATGGTTTACATACACAAAACAACTTCCATTTTACTCACAAATTCCAGAAAATAGTAAGAACTGGCCATGCTCGTTGAACAGATACTCTTCATTTCTGAAGGTGACCTTCCCATGGTGAGAGGGAGCAATTGTTTACCACACATTTTTTCACTTTATTTTATATGAAAAAAAAAGCCTGAGAAGGATGTTTTTATTGTTGTTTCTTATCCTGGCTACTGGGAGATAAACAATAGAGCTTCAGATCATATCACTGGCCTCAGTAACCTGCCTGAGGCTTACATTTCTGAACATCTGGTCCCACGTGAATGCAGCTCCTTCCTGAAACTAGATCCTCTTTCACTGCACTCATCACATGACGGTTACTACTTGCTGAAACATTAGCCGGTACCACAGGGGGTGGCCGAAAGTGACACAAACTGACCCACTCACTGGGGGCTTTTCTGCGCTGTGATTGTGGGTAGGAAAAGTCCTAGGCCCCGAAGGGAGCAAATATTTAATGCTGGTTTTGTTCTCAAAAGAGCTATTTATGTGAAAGAAAGTATGCAGTCAAATCCTGATATGCTGGAGGTGCTTGTTAGGAGGAAGTTATTATACACCAGAGTGTCTGCAGAAAAAAAGCTAAAGTTCTCTCATTTCCTAGATTCTCTCACAGCTTCCTCCCTCAAAACCAAACCAAAACAACAAAAAACCAGCAAAGCAAAACAAAATAAGTTCAAATGTGTTTGGGTTTTTTGTCTTTTTTTTTTTTTTTTTTGAGAATCACCCACTTAGCTTTCTGTGTAAATTCTCAGTGGTTTCCAGTAGTGACATGGTGGAATCTTAAAACAGAAAGATTAAACAGATATGAATTAAATCCATATTGAGTTTCTAATGCAACAGCAGTGATCAAGCTTAAATACTTAACATTACCTTAACATCTAAATTATTTTTATTACTCGGTGTTCTATACAGGGCATGTTTAGGGAAAAATGCAAATACTAGGGGAACATTTTAAAGCCCACTAACTAGTTTTTTGAGAGCTAGTCAACACAATTTTTTCTTGATTTCCTGCTTACTGAAGCCCTTGTGGTGGCTTATTCTGATCAATCAAACAATGATGTGTGAAAAAAAAAAAAAAACAAAATAAAGCTTTTCATTTTTAGGCCTTAGTTAAAATGTGTTACATGTAAGTCACCTGGGAAGTCTGACCCCCAACCTCCTTCCACCTTCGAAAGCAAAAGCAAAAAAAAAAAAACCACAGCCCAAGGGCACACAGTCTCCTTGGGTGGCTTTGCAACAGATCAAATCTTGCAAAATCTTTGCAGCCAATCAAATCTCTCCAGTGTTGTGTAGTGCACTGTGTATCTCCAGGGCTCAGACAAAACTGTGAATTGCCCACCTACTATTAGTTTTAGGAGCATCAGAAAATGAATATGGACTTCTTTGAAGGGCCTAGTGAATACTATTTATCCTTTATTGCTCTTTTTAATAAAGATCTTAAAAATGAAATCAGAAATGAACAGAATAATTTTCTATGCAGTAAAGCATTATTCCTTGAAATAAGTGTTGCCTCTTTGGGCAACTCTTTCTAGACCTTTTTTTAGTTTTTTGTAAGCTTAGGGTATTAGTCAAATAACTAAAAGATCCAAAAATGTCCACTGGAAAAATGCTTGCATAGGCATTTTAAAAGTTTGTTACTATTTCTGATCTGTCCTGGGTGTAGTTACCACCCCTTTGTCAGTGTAAAGGAGCTTTTTATTGGGAATTATTTACACCGCTAGCATTGTATAAAATGGCCTTTATGGAGAGACGATGAGGTTAAAAATCAGAGCCTGTATCAGTGTTTTTAGACTATCCCTACTCTTTTCCATTTGTTCAGCATGGATCATGAAGTTGCCAAGTTTCCGTGGCTAATTAGTGTTTTGTGTAAACTGTATATAGTGTTATCAATATGTTTCTTGTAATTTGTACAAGAGGAGGAGGAGATAAAATGGGCATTTCTAGGTGTTTAAGCCTGTATTTAGTAGGAACAGGAAGAAGAAAGAAAATGGATATTGTTAAGTATTAAAAGAGAGGCTGCTATCTAGCAAATCACAAAGTGTGTAATTGATATTTTAGATTCTGTAGCTTTAATAGCTCAGTTTGGATCTGAGTCTAAACTGGTAAGAATGCTCTCATATTCTTTATATTTTATATTTATGTTTTAAAAAATCCGTATTACAAAACAGGCAAAACCAGACATACTTCCTTATCTGTTGTTTCTATGTGATATTTTAAGCAGGCACTGGTATAGTCAAAGGAAAAGCTGACTGCTCTTCTTCAGTTGAAAATAAGTAATGCTCATTAGGGATCTTATCCCAGGTATAGAGGTGTAGGCATTTACCTCAGTATCTCCTACTTATCTTATTATTTGACCAGCCTACAAAATAATTTTATTTCCTTAATTGACTGAACCATGCCAAAATTTTCCAAGTTTAGATTCTGCCCTCGTCTGGGCTGAAATAGCAATTTACAATGGAAACGTGAGCTAGCAGCGGTACAAGTAACTGCTGAACTCTCTTCTGCGAGAATAATCTTCCCTGATTTTCAGCTGCTGCTTCTTGTGACTTCCTCTACTGGCCCTTATCACATTCACTTGGTGAGATTTGGAGCTAGTGTTAGATCCCACCTAAAGCCAGCATTGTGCCAGTTTGTACTTACTGGGGTCTGCCTTTAATAACACTTTACTTCTATGTGTAATACCATTAACCCTCAAAGATGCTCAGAGACAATATATTTATCCTCATGCTTAACCACCGCTGTCTTGGGAGACAGCCAGAAAGCTTACCTTTAACTGCAAAACAGTGTACTTAGAAGAAATGCTGGTCAAGGTCAAAGGGTTTTTTTCTTTGTCTTGAAACCGTCCAGGAACTGACTGAACTTCACTGTACAGCATAGTCAAAACCAAACATAAACAGTGCAGGAAAACAAAGTTCCACTGGGTTCATCGTTCGTTTGCGTAACATTTCTTGGTTGGGCTCATGTAAAACAGCAAATTATGCAATTCTTTTTGCTGGCTTTGCTGTGTTGGTTTTTCTTTGCTTCCATTTGTGGTATTTTGATAAAGCCACTTGTTTTTTCTTTTGAATCATCAACCATTTCCCAATTTGTCCTTTAAAATTTCTTCCCTGTTATTGCCACATGTTCTTCTCATGTCCTTCTCTGAAGCCTCAGATAGAGAGCAAAAACTGAAGGATTGTTTTTCCTTAAGTGGGAAAAGAGAGTGTTGTTTTCAGCCTTCTTTTTTTGCTGCTGTGTTAGCTAAATTAGCTAGTGATACTCTGTGACAGGTGACCTCTTCTGTATTCTCAGACAATTTTCAAGGCCTACTTGCAAAGTTGAGGTAGTCTTTGGTCTGCAATGTCCCTAGAATAGGATAAGGAGCAACAGAGGATCTCTTGTATTCTTTTATATATTGCTTAACCTTATACTGTTTAACCAGGAAGTAATTGCTGTCTTTGGAAAGTTAACAGTGTTAGGACACCCCTGTGCAAAGAGGCATAAAAGCAATCGCTGTTTTCTTCCTTGAATTCTTGGGTTTGTCTAAAGAGGAAGTGGAAGAGTGACGTTTGTGTCATTTTGCCTTGAGATGAAAGAAAAACATCGGGGTCCCTGAAAGACTCAGCGTATGCGTGCATTATGCATGCACAGAAGCAGCCTGTTCAGCTCAGCATTGAAGAGTAGTACCATGAGTCTGTCCACAATAGTAATGAATTGTGCCACAAGGAAGATGCAATTATAAGCACTGGAGTTGCAATTCTGACTGGGCCTTACATAGACAATATAAAGAAGTAGCTCACTAAATCTTGGTGTTCTACTATATGACTGTACGTGATCTACCCAAAACCCAGCCTAAATAAAATTCTGCCATACCAAGCTATGAGAATAGTAAAGAGGTGATTTAAAAGCACCAGTCCCACAGTTGCTTATTAATCAAAGTAAAAATAGTTCAGGAACAGCCAAGGAAGCGAAGTAGCATATCCTCATTATGGTTCTTATTTTATCCAAATGAACTAATTGTAAAAATGTTAAAGTGAACTATTCAGGCATTGGATAGGATCTACCCCAGGACACTGTTAGTCACATGTCTGAATGTTCTCTATGATAGACTTCACTTTGTGTTTTGCGCACTTCCTTTACCTTATGTCTACCTTGTAATAGTGCTTTGCTAAGCAGCATTTGCCGTCTGTAACTCCAGATGGTTGCAACCGGCTAGGTTGATCTCATTCCATCCGTTGGCTGACGTTGGTTAAGGGACAGATGGCATATCCCCTCTTTTCTTACGTTTACCTTCTTGGCAAAGTCTATTGTTTTATTCTGCTCCTTACAAAAACCATAGGTCAAAACATGACAGCTTTGTTGTATTCGCTGAAATAAAGTTCAACCTAATCCCGTGTGATTTTCCTTTCTGTAAGACTTCCTTGGAAAAAAACATTATCAGTCTTGGTCTTCATGCACCTGGGAATCTGTTTTTATATCCCATTTGGTCTTAGCAGGTTCCCAGAGACCCACTGTAATAATACATGACTTCTAGGAAGCCGATAGAGAAGAGGATACTTTGCTTCCATTTTCCCTGCTGTTCAGCTATTCATACTTTGGCACTTATGTGTCAGCAGGTGTGTAAAAAGCTATGCTGTGCTAGTGCCAATACTGGCTCCGAAAAGAGACTTCTTGTGGAGTACTTTACACTTGCAGTATTTTTCGGACTGTCTGTCATAACCTTTTTTTTCCCCTGGCATCTCTGCACTAGTCAAAGGGTCCAAGCTTATTCTGAGCAGGCACCAATAGCCATCATAACAGATGGATAAGTGTGTTGGAAACCAAGAAACTATGTACTGTATGCACACTGAGGGAACAGTGTAGTTGTGCAGATCATTCACATAGCTGTCTGCCCTGAGTGTGCATGTCCGCGGTTAGAACAAGGTGCCATTGATAAACTGCAACCTCTATTTTAACTTTCCAAAGTCAGAGGCATGTGAAACAACTTATCCCTACACTATCACACATACTTGTGATTTGCTGACCTTGCTGTGCTCACTCTATATTTCTTGCACTTTGTCTTACCGTCCCCCCATATTAGCTCTGACACATCGGAGTAAGACAGTAGGCCGCATTAGTTCAGATGTAACTGAACACTTGCGTGCTGATTTCACTGAAAGCCATATCTGTTGTCTCTCAAACTTGGTCATGTCCCTGCTGTGCAGAGATCTCTTTATACCTCCTGAAAATTGTCATTGAAAAACTTCTGGCTCACCTGGTTTTACTGCTGTAATCAATAGGCCTTTTATTACCAGGAAGCTATGAGCTCAAATTCAAGGTGAAATAGCAGTGGTGTTTTGATTAGAGGTCTGCAGTCTGTCTTCTCTCCCTAGCTAAGGTAAGCTAAAACTAGTATTTCTGTAAATTTTTTTGTTTTAATATTGTCTCTGCTTCGAACGTTAGAGTACCTTTAAAGATTCCGTGCACTCTTTGGCAAAAGTTTAGGCTAGTGCACATTTTCTCTGAGCCATCTGTCCAGTGCTCAGCTTAGAGAGAATAGTGATCTTTCTCTGGACTTCTAGTAAAGTCTTTGACAAAAGCCAAGGTAAATTTGAAGTTGAAAACGAGCAGGAAATTAGAGCTCTTTTCTATGGATCCCAGTTCATGCATTGTGTGCAGAATGCTTCAAGGGTTAATTTTTTAAAAAATATCCCTATTTTGATGGCAGGCATGAAATAGTGCAAAGATTAGTCTATAGGCTTCTGTTGGGGTGAATGCCTCATATTTATATGTTCTATGAATTCTAAGTGAGATTTTACCTAATTTTCCATTTGTTCTCTCTCTTGTTAGTGGTGAAACATTATTTATGTGCCATATCTGCTACTAAAATACAGAACTCAATTAAAGCTTGGCCATAGGCATATAAGTCAAATAAAAGAGTTTTATTCCAAGCTGAATGTCAAAAAAGAGAAGAAAAATTGTAAGTGCTATTGATGCAAAGAATAATCCAGATCCACACTGTAGATTAAAGCAAGATTGAGTTGAAGACAAATCTGTCTGTTCATAGATCACTTGCTAAATGCCCAGTTTTGCTAACTAAAATGTGTAGCTAATTACTCAGAAATATTTATTGAAAAAATGTCTTTCTCTTTTTTTTCCTCCTTCTTAGTTTGTTGTGATGATGTTTTGGAGCATCTATATCTATGACAGGGAACTGGTTTACCCAAAGCTGCTTGATAATTTTATACCAGCATGGCTAAATCATGGAATGGTAAGTACAGTGATACAAACACTTTACAAACAAACAAAAGTTCTGAGTGATAGATTTGGCTCTGAAATGACAGAAAAATTTAAGTGAATGATTCTTTACAATTCTTTGTAAGTATAATTTGTGGTGAAAACTTATTTGTTAAAGATGCTAAATCTTGCAGTAAGCCTGTTGAAGAAATCTCAGTATGTTTTCTGGACCTGTTTGCAGAAAAAAATCAAAATAAGTACTGGTTACTCAAATGCACCAAGCTTATGTACCAGAACTTGTATCAGAGTGTTTTTTAAAATGTGGAATTGCATGCACCAACATGCAGATGTAGCAGTTTTAAAACTGCCGCATCTGCAATTATTAAAGTAGTTTCCAGCGAAAAAAACAGTGAAGACCTTCTCTTCACTCTCTAGCAAGTGGCAATGATATATCTGTCAAGTGGGCCAGTCTTCTTCTCAACTATGTATTTAAATGATAAGGGAAAGGTAAGACCAGACTTTGCCAACAGGTACTCACTACTGTTTATGCAGTACTTGGAGCTGAAAAGCTTCATGCTTGCTTCACACGTGCTTCTTGTCTATTGGGTCTGTGCAAGATGTTTTATTATTACTTTGTTATCTCTGTGGAGGCATGGCAAACCATTTGCTCTTGTTCATCTGTAGAAAACAACAGAGCTCATCCTTCAGGATGTGAGTACTGTATCACCACAGCAGGTCAAGATTCGTCCACTAACGTTGAGCTTGATAAATTGCCCTTTGTGAAGTGGAGCAGATAGCACTGCTACTTATTTACTCTTTAAATTGTGTGTTAAAGGAGCAGGATGAAAGTTATTACTAGAAAGAGGAGCATCAGCTTCAACTAGATACTGTACCTTTTACAGTGTTTTGAAAGGAATAGTATATTATGTGTTTGTGGAGCTGAGGAAAGATTCAGGTGACTCTTGCTGTGTTTGTTCAGACTGTCCTCCCTTGAGTTTTGAGGTCGCACACTTGCACACCATGATTTTTTTCTCACACTGCATCAGCGCCAACTCTGATGACATTTCTTCCAGGTGACATTCCACATACTGAAAGTGCCTAACCTATAACATTTTTCATGAATGCACATTGTGAAGCAGTTGACAACAAATGATCCTGTGTATTCAGGAAGTCTCCTCTGTGCCACAGCTAAACAGCAAATCGAGCTCGTGTTGTTCTGTAGAAATGTATGCTTGCTGAAATATCTGAAGGGGTCTTTTGCTTGAAATCTTTGGACATAGTAGAGTTTGCTGAAATGAATTGTGTGCAAGCATCTCAGACATTTTTATTTTCTACTTGGAATATTGTAGAAGGCATTTTTGAAAGTCTTTTATAAAGGAATTGTTTGCTGTGTCAGTCTCTATTTATCCAAGTGTTCCTTTCACTCGGTCACAGGGGAGGCTTATGGCTGTTGGGCTTTTCACCACCTTTCAGTCTGATTCTTTCTGATGTTTGAGCCATCATTTTATCTTCACCAGTTTTCATGCTAATTAATTCTGATGCATTGCCCATCATAATATGAAGTGGTTTGGGGGATGAGGGCTCAAGGTTTGAGGAGAAAGCTTTTCTTCTTAAAGTACCATAAGAACGCTAGCACTTCATTTATTTACAGAGTTACAATTTTAACTAAGAAATTTTGGAGAATGTGGTAGAGGTGCCCTTGGTGAAAGGATAGGACTTCTGGCAGTACAATTTTAGAAAAGTCAGAATCCATGGTTATTGTTTTTTACTGGAATAAGCATTCATTCTCCTCTTTTCTTGCACATTTTAACAGCAGTTGTGCAAATTCAGTGATAATTGTTCTGAACACAAGAATGGTTGTGCCAGAGCCTAACCTTGTCCAGGTTTTTTCACAGTACTTTCCCTAAATATGTTTTCGTTAGAAAACAAACCAAAACAAGTGAAAATTTTCAACCGAAACAAACAATTTCCACACAGAAAAGATTCCCTACTTTAGTTGAAAAATATTTTCAAAAGTTTCTAACAGAAATGTTCTGACCAGCTGTAACAAGTTGCTCAGCTGTCACCATTACCCTGTAAAATCCGCAAGTAGAAAAGGAATGAGAAGCCATGAAATCTTTGTCTGTAATAACAGGAATCACATTTTCATTAGTAATATGGGCATTTATCAAAATACTCAAGAGCATCAGAACCATTTGTCTGGAAGCAATTGTCTTGAATACTCTATGAAAAAATTGTTTAAATGACTGGCCTTTGCCCAGGCAGAAGTGGTCTGTACAGCACTATGTGTTACTTTGTTAGGTTAGAGTAATTTACTCTCTTCCCTCTTTTTCTTTTCCCCCTTTCTTATCCCTTCACTGCAGGTGGAACATTGTCTATAATCATATAGAACTATTTTTTTGAACACACAGTAATATCTTGATAATACTCAAGAGATATGACTCTTTCGTAGCAACATTTTTTTCAAATCATTCCTGATTTTAAAAAGTTCTTCTCTAGAAATGGAAAACATAAGGGAAATGCTCTGATGATATTATAGTTTCCAGAAGACCAAGGGCCATGCAATCCCATTACCAATTCTATCCTAATATTATTTATAAAGTTTTACAGAAACACAGAAAGGTTCATCGTTGCACAGAAAGGTAAAAGTCAAAAACTGTTAACCAGACCATAAAACTGCTTATCCTGTCAAGAATTATATTCCTATTATATGTACCATAAAAGTTAACAATACATAATTCCTGTCTACAGAAAGATTTGTATGTGTTTAGTGGTACCTTGTGGTACCAGATGGTTCTTCATAAATACAGATTTGTGCACTTGTAAAAGTCATCACTGACAAAATTGTACAGTGCCATAAGCTGATACATTTCTTCATCTCAGTCAGATGATTCATTCATAACCAGTGCAGCCATTCTAATGTGATTTCAGTGGGCAACAATTTCAGTTCTTTCATGGTCTCACTACGACTTGAGAAGTCACTGGGGCAATCAGTGGCAGGGTTGCTGTTGATTTTCAGTAGGGCAAGGATTTCATCCCTGTTTATTATGTGAGGGCCTTATCTAAATAGCTCAGGTTAAGCTCCTATCACTAGAAATAACTACCTATCTAAAGAGAGTTATCAGACAATAGGGCTGTACCTCTGCCTAGGTCTGTTTCTAAAGGGTCGAGTTTACTTACTTCCTGTATTTATCAGACTGTATGCAGATGCATTCATCTTTGTTGGGTACAGTTTTAGTTGCCAAATTACTGAAATATTCCATCAAAGATGTTGTTCATGTTTTGAGAGCTGTCCTGCACTTTCGATCCGTGTCTACCCCTAATTCCACAGGCAAATATTCTTTCCCATTTTCTGATGGCTGTCCTCCGTATCTGATCTCTATCAATATTAGGTTTAAAGGATAACCTAACCTATTTTTATCGGCTCCGTTCATTTCCCTTCTCTGTGTTGGGACTAGGTATTATGTACAGATAGCATCTATTTCCAAAAGTTGTCCTCTCATCAATATTAGCACAGCCTATAAAACTAGAGGTTGCCCCTATTCTAGCTGATGCCCCATAAACAGATCTCCAACCCTAATTAATTTAAGCTTCAGCATTGCTGATTTTGAGACAGCTTATATGCCATGAGTGCATGCAGTATTTGTCCAGGTTAGCATTCCATTTCAGCAAGACTCCTTTGCTTTTCATAGACAGTGTCCCAAATTCTTTTTAAAAATGTGAATCACCTTTTATTTGTGGCAAGGAAAGTAAAATACAGGGATCGAATTTACTTACTGAAGACTTTATTGGCTTTGGAGGTCAGAAGTGAACAATTGTCTTCCTATGAAAACTCCAGAGGAGAGTTTAGGGAAGGGGAAAGGGGAATATGATCTGCCTCTGTGGAGCTGGAAAATTGATTATCATATGGATTACATGCCACCACAATGTATAGTAGCTGTTCCTGTTTTCTAGTATATTCTTTTTATGCTGCTTACTGGAAACAAAGCATTGCTAAAAAGGCAGGGGTTTCCTCTATCCTTGTATTCAAGAGCATGCATGAAAACTGGGACAAATAGTAGACATGTAGACAAGTTACTGAGATGCAGGAGCCTCTCCAAGTAATATATCTCTAGCTTCTTTCACAGGTTGGCACTCTATTCTCATTGCTGGCTGCTCAGCTGAAAAGCTCAGGCCACTGGAGAGTGGTATAGATTTCCTCCTATCCTCTGTCTTACTGTTGTTCTTCCTGGCAGTCTTGTCTTAGATCCAGTGGGCTTGGCTTATTTATTCCAGTGTTTTTTTCTGGTTGAAAGCTTTTTCCCTGAATAATTTAGCCAGTATATAAACAGAAAAGCTATGCAAAGATGAAAAAAATCATTCTAACCTGGCATATACAGACTGAAGGTCCAAAACTGGTGAGTTTTTTTAACAAACCTGTCTCTCCATCATTAGTTGGGTCAGTTGCTACACGATGTTTGCTGTGATGTACAAGCAAAGAGATGTCCTTTCTTTCAGCAAATAGTGTCCATCTAGCATGCTGCCGTAAAATCCTATTCGTTTGAAAAAGTGCATTATAGTGCTTGAGAATGCTTTCCTAATACAGCAACATCCCATTTAAGGACTATTTTAATACAATACACTGCGTCTTGGTAATGTCTCGTGATGATGTCTAGAAGATACTTAAACTTTTCCTGGATTTGTTTCTAAATCTACGTTAAGATTCTCGAGGATGTTCCAGCTTAAGTGCTCTTTTTAAATTATCTATAGTATTTTCATATGTGAGATGTGAAGGAGATCTTTAATGCTCCAGCAAGTAGTTCTCACCTGTGACATAAATTGCAAAGTTTTCTGATGAAAATCATAGGAAATATGTAATGTAACTGCAAACTTCATTTCTTGCAGAATACCCAGTACTAGGTGATTATTATCTAAGCATCTATCTGATGGAAAGACACTTGGGAACCCAAAATATTTAGCAAAAGCAGTGAAAATAGTGTTGCTGGATTTGTACAGTTCTTGCATGTTCATGCTGTAGTTATGCTGCTCTTTCTG